AGCTGACCGTAGCCGCCCTAGCAAGACCGGCCAGGGCCACCAGGCCGAGGGACTGAAAGTTTGATGACAGCATGGCTGCTTGTGCCCCTGAGGGGAAAGTAGAAGAAAACGAGAGACCAGAAACGCGGCGCGTTCGATGAAAGGGTCACCAAGTGTGAAGAAGGGGGAGCAATATTAGATATTAAGTTGGCCCACAGCGAACGCCTAGGAGACCTGAGAGACCACTGGGAACGCTGGATGGATGGACGAGCAAGACACCATATCCAAAGGCGGGAGTCTGCTGCCATTTTAACAACGAGTGAGGCTTCAGAGCTCGGCACGATACGGGGCCGGTTGCCGATGGAGCCAATGCATCCAGCAGTCTAGCGAAAGCATCGTTGGCTGGCGAAGTGGCCCCCTCCTAGCTCCGGTCTGGGGGGGGCTAACCACCCGCGGACCTGTCTGCATTGGTCAAAGGCAGGGCAGGGAGCCGATGATGGCGAGATGCAGAGGCTGAGATGACAGAAGCGTTGGCGTGGGAGCCCAGCTCAGGGTGGGCCACTGGCCCTCGGCCAGTCGGCCTGGCTTGTGACCTGGGAGTGAGATCACAGCTCAGCTCATCGACTTTCAAGTGCTTAGTACTGGATGGTAGCTGCATGCTGGGCCCCTTGTCCCCGACAGCGTTGGTGAGGGTACATTTGATTTGGCATTACCAGCTGGGTTCCTTCCTGAGAGCTAGCTCGTCGAAGATGCAGATACATCGCCTTGGAGAGGCACCTAAAGACCGAGATTGTGAGCGCCCGAGAGCGTGAGTGTGGCAAGGACTCGTTTGGGATGCGGCAAATCCAAGCGTGCCCAGAGCAAAAACTCCAGAGCCCAGAGTACCAAAAACTCGAAACCGTTATGGCGAAACTGTAGGGCTGGCATCGAGCCTCCCAGCAAAGTATGTCAGTAGTTCGCGCCATCTGGTGGATCCAACCCCGTCATAGCCCCGAACGGCGAGTCCCTTGACCGTTGCCGCGAGGTGGAAAAACCCTGTGTGCCGCCTCAAGCCAAGGCTGGTCGTGCGGACATATGGGGCCGTGAGCCTCCAAGTAATGGGGCTACTGATGCTCAGAGGGAAGAAAAAGGCTGATAAAAGGCCATTCCATATTTGGCAGCACCTAGTTTCGTACGCGTTGTCCAGGCTGACCAACGCACCAAAGAGAAGTAGAATATAGCACTCGAGCGTATAGCGAATAGAAGGCATGGACTTCGATCGCCAGGTCCTGGTAGCTGGGTAATGCTTGGCAATCTAATATGCAAGACGCGGGTTCGATAGCCGAGAACCCAACTGGGCCTCTTACTGGCCGATTGCACGCGGTGACCTGCTCACAGCGAGGCGGTCGACACCCAGCCGATACCAAGCTGTGTCTGCTCACGACTCTCAAGTCGAAGTCGAAGATGAGTGAACGCCCAAGGCTGGCCGCCAACATGTATGAGAACGACACTGTGGGCTGGCTGCAGATGACACAGACAGCATGCGGTGCTATTGTGTCAGATCATGCAAAAGTCGTAGCTCGTGAGTATGTGATGTTCTGGTGTTGGCACATCAGGAATCCCTGCCGATTTCGACCAGGGGCGCCTTACGAAGCGTCAGGGCAAATCGGCATGGCATCCTTTCCCCAACTTGGCCTCGTGTCGCTACGAAGATAGCGGGTGTGGACTTGCCTCCGATCTCCTTGCCTTTTCGCTAGTTGGCCGCCTCGCGCTGCCTGCGGTCTGCTCCTCGAGCCAAGGCATACCGACACGATCGGCGCGTCCACTTGAAGGAGCCGGCGTGGATCGGCGGCTGGTTGGACAGGAACGCGGCAAACTTTACCAATAGCTTTTCTTCAGCTCGAAAAGGATGCTTAGCGGTCAAGACGGCCAGGCGCGTGTGTTCGTTATTGTTGGAATGATGTGGGAGGATGAGGCAAAGGTCGCAACAATTCCTTGAAGCTTTGTCAAATGGAAATACATGGTTATGTGAGGGGGCCAAATTTCGAGATTTGTGATTTACATAGTACAGGCAGCTTCTGTTGACTCTTTCTTGCTCCTTCTTTTCAGCCCTGCTGTGAGGTGGAAAGAAGACAGTGGAGAAAGAGCAGGGGTGTCGAAGATGGTGGAGACAACGGTGGGGCGGTAGTGGGGCTGATATGGGGGAGTGGCTGCCGAAAATAGGTTGTGGGGCGGTGATGATCTTCTCCTCAGAACTTGGAGGCCAATTGAGGAACTTCGTTCTTTGGGCAAACTCAATAGCGCGCTGTAGCTACCGGCGAAGCCAAGCCGGTCGCCGTTACTGACCCGTGCCCGGTAGCTCGCCGTCGCCGTCGCCGTCGCCGTCCCCGTCTCGCCCACGTCCAACCTCCTCGGCGATGGCGGCGCCGGTATTCGACCCTGCATTGGCGTGTGGAGAGATACCATCGATGCCCTTCGATCCGGCCTCGCCGCTGTCCATTTGGCGCATCACCGCGATCTCCGCGCTATCCGCTAATGTGTCATCGATACTACAACTTGCACATTGGATGGTACTTGCTGGGACCAGGCACATAAACGCCGCTCTCGCCGACAGCCTTCGGATTTGTGACATCAGCGCGCTTGGGCTGTGCCAAGGGTGGATGGGCGGCTGATAGTCGATGTGGACCACTGCCTGGTCGAGATCCGCAGCGCTGTCATGCTATTGACCGGGAGGGTGTAGCTGGCTGCACTCGATGCACTCGACAGCTCGCCCGCATGGCCTCCCACAGAAGAGGGTCTGGGGCTCGCAGAACCACTCGCATGTCGGGTTCGCAAACGAGTTCCTCCAATGCAGAGCTAGTTCCGGATCTTCCTTGATGCGTCTCGCGACTTCGCCGTTGACTGCATCCTAAATGCCGACTGCGTATCCGCAAGGAAGTCTAGAATTGATGAACATACTGCGGGTGGTCACAACCCTGCCCGCGGCGACTAACGTCGACTCCTGAGAATGCGAGTGAGCTGTCTGGGATACTTCACCATCCCAGCTGTAGACCTACGCCTCCTCCATCTCGTAAATGGCTGCAGGTTTGATTCTTGCAAACATCTGGCTTGGGCGATATCAACCGATCAACTACGGCCCTGGCGGATTCGCGCCGTGATGCGGGCAGGGAATCTCGAGAGGGAAACAAGGCGGCTCTTTGGGTTGTGGATCGCTAATTACTCCATTTAAAAGTATTTTCACCTGCTATCTCGCCCAGTGGGCCCGATTTCGAGTGTGCATGGCGTACCTCCAAATCAGACTGTATTGAGCAGTTCTTACCCATCTCATGCGGTTGAAACTTCGACAGCCGGTCTTGCAGCCACTGTCCTTCTCCGCGAGAGATCTCTCAGAAAGGCCAACAAGTCGTCGAGGCTTTCATACTGTCCCTGAGAACAGCTCGATGGAAGTCAGCTCGTCAGTTGTAGGAAGCAAGGTCACAATTCAAGTATCTCGCTCTCCCCCAGCGCGCCATCACACGGCATCGTGCGGTGGCATGTCTCACTACACCACCAAAAACAAACTCATGCAGTCTCCCGGCTACCACGACCAAAACCGAAACCTGGCCTGGACCGTGGCGAACTGCCTGCCTTTGCGTTCGGAGATATCCGCTCCTTGCCTAGCTCAACCCCTCAGCTGGCAAACATCGAATAGCACACCGAGGTCAGCTCGTAGATGTTGCTCCAGAGTATCCCCGCGGTCGTGCCTCAGAGCAAAATGCCAAATTTGCCCCTGTTGCGTGCCCTTGACATTGTCAAGCTCCCCGGCATATCCTGAATTACAAATACGAACCCGAGCAGCGGAAAGGCGGGCTGAAACCTCTAGCGCCCAAAACCTGCGTCAGTCCGTAGCTTTGGAACTTTCATTCGTGCCAGACCTGTGACATTGCATCATAGAATCTGATAGGGCCCTCGCCACTGAGAATCAGGAGCATGTGCCGTCAGGGCTGCCCCTGAACACCCCAGGTTTTGAACCCAAGTTCTCCACTGATTGTAAGTTTTCCTGCTATAACACGGTAAGTAGGTTTCATTGTGGCGATGTTGTTTGACTGGGAGGAACGGTGCTGAGCCGGTAAGGGGTCCAGCGTGGAGTAATGTGGGGAAAGGGGTTAAAAACGAGGCAAAAAAAACATACAACACCAGGGATTCGCTGGTCGTCACCGACCCAATTACTAGTCTGGCCCTCGCTGGCTTATCTATGGGAGAGCGGACGGGATCCCGAGCTCTCCAGTGGGTATGGCCGTATGTGTTTGTTGGCGTTGGTAGACTGGTAGATGTGCGCATTGTTTGAGGTGGAGAAACGGCTCCGCTGCCTCAGACTGGGTGGACTTGGGAGGAGTGGGAGCAGGTATAAAACAAGACGCTCGAAGGATTTTGGCCGAGTTTTGGCGGAAAAATGTGCGCAGCCCAGAGGTAAGTCCATGGGGACAGGAGCTCTTGAAGCACTGACTAGGCACCTCTGCTGGGAAAGGAGAGCGAGGTTTATGGGTAGGGTAAGTTCCGTTGCTCCTGCGAGAGGGTCCCAGCCCGAGAAAGAAAACCCTGAGATTATGGTTCAAGAGCAAGGGATCGCTGGCTGCTCGAGCTTCAGTATGGATAATGGAAATGCGTGAGTCTGTTGCAATTTTCCACTCTGCCCGTTTTTCAGCTCCTTGCTAACCGTTTTTGTTCTTTTGGCTGCCTAAACAGAGCGACCCGTTTCTATGCTGAAAATGATCTATGTTGACTTTATGAATCGCTTCGTCAAGCGATGTTAGAGTGTGAAACCCCTTTCCTTGTACACTCAAATTGTATTATTTTGATGTCCGCAATCTATGACCAGGACCTCACACAGCCACACGGCGAAGCTATCACCAACAACATAACATGATCTCCCCGCTTTATTAGAAGCCTTATATATCCTGCGCTCTTGCGAAGCTCTCTAGCTTGAGTTGTCACATCACCAAGCACATAAAAAGCAAGAAGAAACCTTCTTTAATAGTCGGAGGGATCAAAAAAGGGGGTGCTGACGAGAGTGGGATTTGAACCCACGCCCTTTCAGACTACGAAACCAAGATCCTAAGAGATGATGATGTTATTGAGGAACTCCCTGGCGTAGCGCCTCAGACCGCTCGGCCATCTCGCATTGTCGATGAGGGTTCTGACTTGTAATGGGGCTGACAAGTGGTGTGTGTGGGTTGCTTGAGGGGCGAGTCAGGGGGTGGTGTTGTGCCAGTGGATCACTCTCCCTACGTACGACGAAGCTGGTCAAGATGTAATTCTGGCCAGTACGCTAAAAAGGGCTTTGTGAGAGCTGCGCTGATAAAGTGGGTAGTGCTGTGAAGAGAGGGGAGAGGTCGATGATCAGGAGAATGAGGATACTTTAGGTATGTTTACACCAAAACAGTTGAAGCGGTCATTGTGGTCCAGAGCACAGAAAAATCCCAGACAGCTCATCAGATCACCGTGTGTGAAGAGTTCATTTCAAACTGATCATGTTGCCCGCCGGGTCTGCCTCAAATGCAGCTCGTTTAAGGAGCTTCCGAGTCGCAGATATCGATCAGCCAGGGGGTCATGCTCCAGACAGAAATTCACGTGCAACATACCAAATGGCATCACGCTTATTACAGGTAGAGAAGTTTCCATGCTGGTGGCACAAGTGTTTTCAGTTCTCAGTGGGTGCTTGTCAATAGGTTGATGTCAATATCCTTGACCGGAAAGGGGCAGCACTCAAAAAGGGGGGGTTTTGGGAAGCGGCTTACTCCAGTGTACTTGGCATCCAAGCGCCGTCGGAAATGCCTGACAGGCCAAAAAGAGAAATCTTTCAGTGGAAACCGGCACAGAAAAGCTTGGAGATAAGGAGGAAATCATCAAAAATGAAGGTCGCTAATAGCTTAGACTGGTTTCGATCCAGTGACCTCCGGGTTATGAGCCCGGCGCTCTTCCCCTGAGCTACTAAGCTTGTAATTGATGGTCAAACCTCTGCAGAATTTTACTCAAGAAGGGTGGGACGGCAGGTGTGAGTCACAGTTGGAGAGCCGGATTTGGGTTGCCCCACAACGATGGAGAAGCACGACTTACACGGGGACGCAGGTTAGGGTTGAATGAGCAATGGGACTGGAAAACTGTGAGACAGTGTAGAAGATCGCTAAGAAACAAAAGAAAGACTAGGCTGCATATTCCGTGAATTGATCAGGAAACTTCAATTCCGTTGAGGGTTGGTGCATTTGTCGTCGACATCCAGCATACGAGGTTCAACCCTAACCCCTGCGCTTTTCAACCTCAACTTCACCCCAGCATCAACAACGGCTTCACGTCACCTCTCACCACAAAACTCACTAGACCGCCAAATTAAAGCCATTCTTACCATGGCCCCTGAGCCTCCAACTGTCATCGCCATAAAACAGAATTTCCTCACCTCGCAAACGCGCCTCCTCTCCCAACCCCTCACCCCCACACGCGCCTGGCGCACAGCTAACACCAGCGCTGAAGAGGGTTCCCTCCCCGAGAAGGCCATCGACGACGCGCTCTTCAAACTCAATCACCAGATTACACAACACTCCAAACGCGTATTTGCGCCGCAGGCTACGCGTCATGTCGCAGAGCAGATTGACAACCTGTATTGGAATTCCGCAGTCGCGGTCACGGGCGACAGCGAGGAAGGGGATGAAGAGGGAGTAGGAAAGGGCGCTGACTTAGGTTTGTTTATCCTTTGGTTGTTTCGCAGTGGGATGTGATGCTAATTGATGCAGCTGACGCCAAAACAATAACTACGCTCCCTTCTACATATGATACGATATCACCGCAGCAGGCTGAGGCGTTTCCGCTTGAGGCGCGGAGGTATGCGGAATTGGTATCGCGGCTACAGGAGCTATCGGCGCAGAGGGGTGAGTCTGCAGCGAGAGTAGATCGGTTGGAGAGAATGAAGGCGTTGCTGGGGCCGTTTGAGGATGTCGCGGCGGTGCAGGAAAATTTGGTGACGAGGAATGGGGAGGTGGAAACTGAACTGCAAAGGATGAGGATGTTGTTGGCGAGAGTTGGTGGACGGGTGGGGCAATTGAAGGAGAGGGGAGGGGAGGGGAGGGACGAGGAGATGGTTGATGTCGAGGCAGACGAGCAAAGGAAAGTCGGGCAGTTGTTGGAAAGATTTTGAAGGGGTTTGTTTGTCTGCTTCTGAGCGTGCGTTGGGAGTCGGCTGTTCTTTGGTTTTGAGCATAGGCTTTAAGGATCATGGCAGCTCATGGATGCTTGCCACAAATGGTGCGATCGGGAGCTGGAATTACTCGGAGTTGTCATTTCTCGGCAGGCAGCGTGTTTGCGCCTGCCCGATTCAACAAGAAAGACCAACGCTACCTGTTTCTTCCAACTTCTGACCGCGACTCATTGCACTCATCAAACACCAGTCCCGTGCCAGCGCTCAACAATCTTCGGCACGTCAATTCAAAAATCCCCTACCCAATAACAGTCGCATCCTTGGCACTATCATCCAGATCCAACACCTTAGCCTCCTCCTCTCCCAACTCTTCCTTCTTCTCCTTCCCATCCTCTCCTTCCTTCTTCTTCGCGCCTTCCTCGCCCTCTTCCTCGTCGAGCTCATACAAATTTGGCCGAATAACTCTCAACTTCACAATCTCCTTGTCCTCATCGCCCTCGGCAAACCGGTAGTACACCCTCAACCCCACCACCGCAACTGCATTCCATGGATCCTTCTCAGAGTCATCCTCGTGTTGTTGATGTCGCCCGATCATGGGTGGCGGGGCATTAGGTCGCGGATTAGGAAGGGAATCGATACGGAGCCGCTCCTCGAAGACGTAATCTAGTTCACGCTCGGAGAGGTCCGAGATAGAGGCGACGGAGGCGATGTCGTGGTCGGGGCTGTGGAGCGAGTCTACATCCGAGCGATCACCCCTAGGAGGAGGAGGAGGGGGTGGGGGAAAACGGCCCATCATCGGGGGCATTCGGCCGGAGTGGCGGTATTGCTGGGGGGGAGGCGGTGGTGGGCCGTGGTCTTGGTGAGGGGGATGATATTGCTCTTGCTGGGAGTGGTGGTGGCGGTGGTGCGTGTGCGTCTGGGCAGAGCGAGGGCGGGATTCGTCGCGGTCTCTGTGATGGTCAAAATCCGCATCGGGGTAGAGATAGGGGTTGGGTGAGCGGTGGCGGTCGTGGCGGTCATCGTCGCGATCTCGTGCGCGCGTACGGAGAGGCTGGTCATTGAGCAGGGCCTTGAGCTCCTCTTTAAAGGGCTCCCAGCTTTCGAGGGTGTCGACGATGGCGCGGACTTTGCCTTCTATCTCGGGATGGAGGGGTGGTTTAGCCTCGTCTTCTTCGGGCTTGCCGGCGCTGGTGGGACGTTCCTCGCACTCGATATTGACTTCCGAGTTGTTTTTCAAGGCAGAAATAGGCTCATCGGGTTGGATAGCCTCCGGCGTATCGGTGCTCACGGGTTCTGAGACCCCTGCATCCTTCTCAACACTTGTAGCGGCCGTGGCCGGTTCGACATTCTCAGGTAGGGTTTCTAGCGACGTATGGAACGACGACTGACTTTCCAAGGTACGAGCCTCCGCCAGACCAGCTTCTGATCGGGGGCCTCTTGCGGTCGGGGTTTTGTCATCCCCGGTCGAGGCCTCTGACCTTGTTGTGCCCGAAGCTGAAGTCGGTGGAGTGTGCTCACCAGCATCGGTCGAAGTCTCTGGCTCGGGAGCATCGATACTGCTGTGCCTGCCGGTGATAACTAGCTCGGGTTTCTCTGTTTGCTGCGACTCTTCTGATTCGATGTTGGGCTCGCCTGCCTCTCCTTCCTTTCTTCCATCATTGGCATCAGCCCCCTTCCCTCCTTCGGCCATCTTCCTTTCGGCTTGCGCTTTGTACTCAGCCTCTCTTCTCTCCGCTTCCTCGACCTCAGCCCGGTGCCGCTCCTCTTCTCGCTTCCTCGCTTCAGCCTCTCTTTTCTCTGCCTTCGCCTTCTGCCGCTCGTTCGCCCGCTGCACTTTCCTCCGTTGAGCTGTTATGCGCTTCTGATCAAAGTAATGCGCTCTCTCCCTGTCCTTCATGATGGCCTTTCTCAGCCGGTCTCGCATTTTCTCCTTCTTGCGCTTATCGTAGGCCTCTCGCGCAGCCTTTTCCTCATCCGTCTCGGTGATCTTTGCTTTCGCGTGGGCCAGGTCGTAGGCCAGCCCAATACGCAGGAGCTTCTCACGGCGGGATCTGGCATTCTTTCGCATAACGTCTTCTGGCGGCATGGTATCGTCGTATCGCAAGGCGTCGATCTTGACGAGGACCAGGTACTCGCCAGCCTCGAGGTTGAGCTCAGCATTCACGGAGCGGCGCATGCGGTATGAGCCTTGAGTTCGTACGAGATAATCGTCTTGGCCAGCTTTATGAACACGGAAGGCGAGGCTGAATTCGTACTGTCCTTCGAGACCGCGGAAGTACCTGTCGTCTAGCTGCGAAAGGACAATCACCACAGGACCGGGCTTGGTGAGTGAGAAGGAAAACTTGGTATCATGGTACTCGATTGTCCATGGGACGGAGAGGGTCGTCCAGATTGACGTGACCTTCCAGTCAGGGCCGAAAAGACGTGTCCGGTCAAAGTTTTGGTACTTTCTCAGAAGCTCCTTGTACGAAATCCAAAACGCGCCGTCGTCGCCAAAGCGATGATCGAGCTTTCGAAGCCACTCAGGGGTCCATTCCTTCGAGCCGTCGCCTGCTCTCGTCAGCACCAGATTCGTCCCGAATGGTAGACAGACTTACTCCAAGGGCCCTTCCATTCCGACTTTCCCCAGGGGTTCTTCAGCAAGAGAAGCCTCTCCCCGTCCATCTCCACAGCCCGCATGACGGAATAGGCATGCTGCTCTACGATTCCCTTGCGGTCGCCCCAACCCCGACCCCAGAGCCCGGTTGAACAGCCAAACAAAAAGGTCTTGTTCACCTGCATCAGCTCATTCTTCCAGAAGCTCTCCTTGTCCAGAATATCCGTCGTAAACAATTCTGAGGTGACACCACCGGTAAGGTCTTCTATTCCCTCCCCGGTGAATCCGCCTTCGATTGCTGCGTAGTCTCCGTGCGCCTTCGCATACGCCTTTTCTAGCAGCGGCAACCACGTCTCGTTCGGGTTCTCGCACTGCGCAAAGTACAGCGCCCCGCTGT